GTCAAACAAGGTTCATTGTCGATCAAACGTATTCGTTCAATTTTACTTACATTAATTGAACAAAATACTGTTCTTCGCACTGCTGTTCGTTTTAACTCACCAAGTAATCAGATCGAACAATACATTCTGGCTGCTACCGATGAAATTTATTCATTTGAATATTCACGAAATATTAATACATCAGAACAACTTGATCAATTATTTACCAAGGAACCTACAGGATAATTTTTCCATTTTGAAAAAGGAAGTGTTAAGATGCCATATAGTACAGTGATATGATAATAATAATGATCATGATTTATTATATGAAAATGATATAATTGCTCTCAGTTTTCATCATATTGCATTTGACAATAGTTCACTCATGGCATTTATAAAAGCATTTAAACAAATAGATTTGGCTAATGAGCAACGACCAATATTATCAATTCCACAATATATTGATTTTGCATTATATGAACAAGCATTGTTAACTGATACAAATATAGATTCAAAAATGAACAAAGCACATCGTTATTGATCAAATCTTATGAATAATTATGATTGTAATTAGATACAACGTTTAGTATCTAATTAAAATAAAATTGATCAAATTCGTTCTGGTCGTGCTTATTCAACTGGATTTAGTTTTGATGAAAATATTGTTGATGCAATGATTTCTTTTGCTTCATCAAATAATCTAACAATGTTTTCATTATCTCTTGCCTGTTATTATGTATTTTTATATAAATTAATTAATATGGATGATGATGGTTTATGTTCTGAAAGTATTAGAGCTAATCGATCAAAACAGGAAATGAAAGATATGATTGGAATGTTTATTAATCTTGTACCATATCGAATGAAAATGGAAGCAAATAATTCATTTGAATATCTTGTATAAAAAATACAAGAATTAAGTAGTAATGTTCTAGAACATTCTTGTTTACCTTATCAACATATTATTAATTTACAAGATCAACAAAATTATCAAGTATTACCTTCAACATTATTTCAATATGAATCTTTAGTATCGTCAGTAACAGCAAAAAATAATCATGAAGTTGGTTCTATTGAAGAAAATTCTGTTCCTATTATTTATTTTGATCGAGATCGATCACATGATAATGGTATTGCAGCATTTGATCTTACTTTTACAATATCGCATGATTATCATGCACGAACTACAGAATGTTTTCTTGATTGTTCAATTCATATATTTACAAGCCAAACTAATGTCCATCTACTTGCAAATCGTTTTCAGCATATGCTCAAACAACTTTTCTCGTCTTCTTCTTTAGTTATTCATGAACCAATCTATAGATTAGCGATTGTTCTTCCAGCTGAACAAGAATTTATTCATCAAATAAATAATACAAATATATCTACATCCTATTCATGGCCAAATTCTGTTCATGAATGTTTTATTCAACAAGCTCAATTATATCCACAAAAATTAGCAATTGAACTTGATGAACAATCACTTACTTATAGTAAAT